TTCACTGTATCCTGACAGTAGTACATGAGACAGATAATCTGTGAAAAATCAGGTTCCTCTGGCTCCTCCTAGTATTTGCACGAAAACAACCAATCAGAGCCAGATCAGGGAGAACATCAATTTACAAGCTTAAATCTTACTGAGCCTCAAGGTTTAAAGTTCATTCTTGACCGTGAAATCAGCAGTTGACAGACATCACCTCAAAGTCTCTTTAGTAGCTGTTCTGGAGCTTTCAGCAGATCTCCAGCTCTCCCTCTGCTCTGTCAATGCTATACTGCTGTAATAAACATTTCAATTTGAGTTGGCTGACTGAACTATTTTAATAATTAATCATTTTGAGTAATTTGTTTTAAAATATGCAAATTCTCAGATTTCAGCTTCTCAAATGTGAATATTTCTGGATATTATTTTGGGCTTTGGAAAACGGCAATTATTATTTTTCACTGTTTTCTGACACTTTTTGAACCAAACAACTAATTGATTAATTGATAAAGTGATTGTCAGATTAATCCATAATGAAAATAATTGTTAGTTGCAGCCCAGCTTGAAGGTCTCTCATAATGTTGGCTTAAACATAGATGAAACATGGATGATATGATATGCTTGAAAGCATGAACAGCTGCTAAATGAACCTCGAGGTAAGATTGTTCAGTCGATAAGTGACCCTTTTTTAAGGCCTCATAAGTACGATTACTCTTTCTTTCATGCCCCATTCATAATGGACTAGAATTACCTCAGATGACTTGGACTTGAGGTTTTGTTTTCTGCAGTGACTTTGTAGTGGTTAAATAAGTTAATATTTTAGTCAAACATACTGTCGTATGGCTGCTTGGTTGGAGCTCCCTCTCTACATGGGTCTCCTTGCTACCATAAGTCTTCACCCACAAACAGCAACCACAGATAAAAACAAGACATCCTTGTGTTTACTCAAATATGGTCGACAATTTTTGGCAGATTTTTATTTATTTACAAATTAAGATTAAGACAGATGAAATATAATAGGACTCCATGTGATAATAGCTGTGTGCAAATAGGGATGATCGATATGTATAAACATATCGACACAGCTACGTTTCTCTCCCTAATAGGATTAACACCTTTGATCTTTCCTTTAGGTTAAACACTGCATGAAAAGTAGTGCAAGAGGAAGGCTGTCAGGGAGGTCATCTGACTCAAGGTTTACATGTGTATGACCCAGCGTCATCAGTGGGATGAGAAGGCTTAAAGGGGCACTCCAGAAATTGAGTATGGCAAGTCTACAAAGTTGGGGAACTTGGGTTACAAAAAAATAGGGTCATCAGTGCAGCAGAAGCGGAGATATTGTGGCTTTCAGTCCCTAGTATGGGTCAAGCTACAAAACACAAGATATTACATTTCCCATCATGCAATAGTGCCTATTTCTGGTGTCTTTCGAACTCTACGCCCTCATGAATCTGAAGCCAAGATAATTATCGCCAAAATAATTGCTTTCTTTAGACAGTTCCCTTCAGAGCAACAGGCAAGTAAACTGTTCCATGTGTAAAATCAGGTGAGTGCCCCTTAAAGGTGAAGCACAGATACCACTGTCACAGCCGCTGCCGTCTTTACTGGTGACATCATTCGGAGCCAGATTCTGCATAGTACTGATCAGGTTTGGAGCCGCGTTATCAAGGTCCCGCCCACATGTCTGACCGACTAAATTGCTTATGAGAAGAAATGACAGAAACCATCTTTGGGAAAAATGTATTTGATGTGTACTTTTTTGATTTATGTCCCATCTGCTAACATGGAGACTTTGGTCACCAGGGGGCGATTAAGATGTTTTGGCTTCAGTTTTGGAGAACTGTCATGTTGCCCATCTATATATTTCAATGGTGCTAACCAGCAGCCACCTCACCACAAACCGACATCTGTCATGGCTAGCAACTGGCTTAACCAATAAGAGCCTGGAGGGCAGCTAAGTGGTCACAGCACCTAGGAAATAACCTTGACTGGGGTAATCCAGGCCAGTAGGATTGGGACAGGCTGTTGGAAGGCTTTGAGCTGGGACCCAAGCAATTTTTTTTTTCCTTTTTTCTTTTCTACTCCAGCCTTAAAAAGTGTTGGCTAGGCTTTATTTAGATAAATCACCTTAAATTATCATTAATAATCATTCATGAACTGTCTAGGCTTGGGTTATACAGATTTTCATTTGTGTTTGAAACAGCAGTCACAATGCAGAAACACTGAAGATGAGATGAAGGCTGAAACTATCAGATCCATCACAAAACTGAACTGCATTTTCTTCTTCTCCCCAACTGTTTCTGTATCAATTCTGTATTTTATTCCCTGTCCAATACAGAAACACCAGTGCTTAAAACTAAAGAACAATAATGAACTACACCCACCATTATTAAGATGGGATTTTTTCATGATCCCCCACACTCTTGTGAACTCTGAGGTCCCCTACTGTGCTGTGGTTCCGATTAAATCCCATCCTCTCTTCTACACCTAATCCCCAATCTCTGTGAGGGAGCACATGTTCCCCGTTTTTTTATTCTGGGATGAGCTGGGTTTATCTAATATCTGATTTCAGGGACTTTTAGAACAAATCAGTGAAAATCTCAATTCTGTTTTGGCAGGTGCTTAGAAGGTTATTTTATGGCAAATATATTAAAAGTAAAGAGGGTGATGTGGATAACGATGGTGTTAGTGTGGCAGGGGCACCACCAAAGGGAGGCAGAGGGGGGCAATGGCTCTGGCCACAGGTCTCAGCAGCAGAGGCAGGGACTGATTTTTATTAAAAATATGAGAAAAAATATAAGAAACAAAGAGAGCGTGTGTATAGGGAGGTGTTCTACCTGAAATATGGATATCTGGCGGGCAGATGTCAGGAGAAGATGAGGACACAGGGGCTGGCTCCTCTGTACAGATCTACAAAGAAAAAGGTAAAAATGAAAACAATGGATGTAAAAATTGACAACACACAAAAGATGATTATATTAACACTGCCCAGTTGATTTTGAAGCTGCTTTGGTAGGATGTCACAGAGATCTTTGACGTGATAGTGCCCTGCTATTCATTTATCAACTACTGCACATCACAGAATGGCTTTCATTCTAGTGTGCCACCAGAATAATTTTAGACATTACAAAATCAGAATAAATTCATAAATTAGTCAATTTCACAAACCTGAATAGCAGAACAATATAAGAACAATGCAACAAGAACACGTTTTCTTTCTTTTATCCTTTCTTCAGTTGTTACAATATCAATTTATTAAGAAAAAAAAAGTGTGTTTTTATTGGTCCAGCATTGCCATTGTGCAGATTTTACAGACATTTTATAATTTATTCCTATCCAGGATAAAATGAGTAACCCTTAGTGACTAACAACTAAATATAGTATGGTACAGACATGGCTGTATCTCAAAAATTATAAGGAGTTATATTATGGTTCCATTGGATTCAGAACAACTTCAAATTTCAATAATTGTTGTTTTGATCAAGTGTTGATCCAGTGTAAATCTGATATTTAACATGTTAAATGAATGTTAACATATCTTTGTGTTTCATTGTGTTTTTACTAGCTGGTAATGACCTCTAAACTTTAAGTTCTTCTTTGCAGAATCTTCTCATCAACTTTTATTCTCCATCCTAAAACAGCTGATACAGAAGCCTTCAATCTGTTTTATAAACCCAATTTTTCTGGCTTCTTATTTGTTTTCATTGCTAGAGCAATAAAATAGTCCAAAGAATTCCAAAACCTTGACATACTGTGATATGGGTTTGATCCCTGAAACAAAGCGTAGCTGACCTCAGGTGATCTGATGTGGACTTTTAAGCGACCAGAGTTGTAGTTGTTGCCTGTGGCTCGCTGGATCCCGTTGTGCAGAGATGTACTGCTTGGAAAAAGTCCTTTCCCTGGTATGAAGGCTATCTCCACTGCACCGTCTTGGCTGAAGACACAATATATAGAATACAAAGAAAAAGAATAAGGAATAAGGAATAAGGGATGACTGGAGCAGTGTATATAGCTAGCTAATCCACCCACAGTCATCACAGTCTCAGATTAAAAAACTCAATTTGACTCACTGAATGGGTATTTTAAGTCTACTTGCACCACCTACCTGAATTTGACTTTGTTCAGCATGCTTTTGGCCTCCTCGTGGGTCACACCTATCAAAGACTCCTTGTTAATGGCGATGAGCTGATCTCCAGGCCTCAGACGTCCATCCTGCACAACAAGGAAACAGGACATTTAGTCATGCTAATCTGAAGAACCACACTGTTTGCCTTTAATGGCTCATTCAGTTTGTCACACTTTCATGTTTTCTGCTGCTTTTTATTAAAAAGTCAGGGAATCACCAAGTTCATTAGGATTCATCCTCTGAGGACCATGGATTTCTAAACCACATTTCATGGCAATCTAATAGTTGTCTAATAGTGAGAGAGATTTTCGTCTGGACCAAAAGTGGGGGACTGACCACCGACATTGCCACTCCTAGAACTCTGCTGCTAGCATTGACAAATATTCGGAAGCATAGGCCAAAGACAACGGAGACAAGGTTGGTTGCAGACTGCCACTAACTGAATATTGCTCGCGTCTGTATTTGATGACCTACTGAAACGTACTGTAAAGTGTATAGGAATAACTATGGTGGCCGCAAAAAAACATGAAAGGCCCAAACTACAGCCAGTGTTTGGCTTGTCTGTTCTGGGCTACTGTAGAGACATATCGGTTCAATATCGCAAACTCCACAGAAGGCGACCCGCAGCATCTGTAGATAAAACACGCTCATTCTAAGGTAACAAAAATTAGTTTTTCTTCTTTGTAAAGCTAAGAATATGTTATATATATATATATATGAAGTTTTTGCTTGCCGCCGTCGCCAAGTGCTTGCTCATGGTGGGAACTCTTGGGTCTCTGTAAATGCTATAAGGAGTTCGGTCTAGACCTGCTCTATTTGAAAAGTGTCCTGAGATAACTTCTGTTATGAATTGGTGCTATACAAATAAAATTGAATGAAAAAGATGTGAAAGGTGGTTACCCATACTGTAATTTTTCATTATCTCTACTAGTAAATGTAGCCACTGAAGATTATTTTTTTCACTTATATACACCGATCAGCCATAACATTCCCTGGTGGTCAGAATGTTCTACAGCCATACCCAACCAAACTGTCATGCACTGTGTGTTCTGAACCCCTTTCTATCAAGAACCAGCATTAACTGTTTCAGCAGTTTGAACTACAGAGCTCGTCTGTTAGGATCGGACCACGGGCCAGCCTTCACTCCCCATGTGCATCAGTGGGCCTTTGGCCGGCCATGACCCTGTCGAACCACTTTTCCTTCCTTGAGCACTTTTGATAAATAGTGACCTCTGCAGACCGGGAACACACCACAAGAGCC